GATGGCACAATGGGTAAAAGCTTGCTTAGCATTTTAGAAAAGCCAAGTTTCAATGCCAGGTGAATTTTTTCATTAAACGATAATTCTCTAGAGCAAAGAATCCTCCACACGCTGCACGCTGCTTATGTTCAACCAACCAAGAAACGGGAAGTAGTTCTTGACTTAAGAATAGAATGGGATTGTCATCGCAGACTGAACAGAATATATGGTGGCACTGTGTGATGCTAACGTTTTTCCGGCGGCAAATCGGTTTTACCCACTTATTGGTTGTGTCTTCATTACCGCTTAATGTTATTATTCATCAGTACGTGCATAAATCGACTGCCATAAACAATCTCATGCACTGACATAAGGAAAGTTCATGAAACAAAGGATCAGAACTGACCCTTAAGCCTGTTTGGCACCTGAAGAATGCATCTGTACCTGAACCACTACCAGTCACTACCACTACCAATCACTACCAATCACTGATGGCGTAGAAAATCCCCCTGCCAGTTGAAGTGACTACTCTGAAGGATGTTATGTTAGATTTTAACGACGTTCCTTAATTGTCCTGAACGAAAGCTGAATAAGAAATACCAAGGCGGAATATCGTCAATGTAAATGGTGGTATTAAAACTCGTACTTGCGACACTAACCACGTGGATCATCAGACTAACCATCGAACAATCGACGACAGGGCGAAACAGTGTGAAGTATTAAATTCGAAATTAGTCTCACTGCTTGCCGTCAGGTGAATCTGCACAAGAATCTATGGTTGATCAAGCAAGTACAGAAAACAACAGAGTCTCTTCAAATGAACTCGGGAAAGATGCGCCGGAATTTACAACCAGAGCATCTTCTGATTCCAAACCTACCAAGTGCCGCGGATAACAGGAAAATCTCCAACACTCGACCGTCCTCCTGCTTTGAAGAGGACTCATGAGACCCAGGCCGAAACGTAGGTAGTGGTCTATCGCCAAATTGGCCATGTTATTTGTGGCGTTGTTTATTAATAGTCCATGTTTGACGCTATTGTTCAGTATGACTATCAGAGCATGAAAGTTATCAAACGTTTTCAGCGGTATAGAGAGTCCATATCGAGATTTGATGAGTGATTTGCAGCAAAGTTCATCATTCGTCGCAGCAGTGTTGCTGTTCGAGCCAAGCATGCATTCAAGAGCATAACTTTCCGCCATGGTGGCAGCTTCATTAAGACCTGATCGCTCTTCTGCGCGTAATTGCGAATGTTTATGATTGTTGTCGCAGCTTCGTTAGTATTTCAATGCTACCCTGCGCATCATTCCGGTCAGGTGCCATGGCCGTTGAATTTTAAAAGTAGTTCCACTGAGGGTAAGAGCAAACTAAAGGCCGATTTTCGTGGCCTGTTAAAATTGCATATCACCGCTACAACCTAGAAGCATTAATAATTAATTGGCTTTAGCTGAACAAGTCCACCGTGCTCCAGAAGTCCATCGACTACATCCAGACAATGAAAACGAACTGCAACAATTTACTGCAGGAAAACGCACGGCTCAGACAGATGTTGTTGTCTCACGGAATAAACGTACCTCAGTATTTACCAGCACAGACAAATCATTG